TGTTGCACTTCAAGTGACGTGTGTAAACGTTACCTTACTATCCATTGTTTATCGTTATTGCTATTTAAATAAAATGTAACACTTTTACAGCTGGCCTGTGTTTGTTGTTAGTTCTGTTGATATTGCGCCTGAACCGTGCTGATTCATGTCATTTAGTCGTGTAAAATCTAGCCGGAATGGCTCGGGTGCGTGTCCATGAGTGGATTGCACTTAAGCGACACAACCTAGGTCACAACCTTGCCAGTCACTCTCCTAATTCGAAAAAATAAGCTCGCCTTTGCAGGGTCAATTAGGATAATACCGGGTGTTTTCGATATCTAAGAGTGTACGGGTTGAAGTGGACTCGATTAATACCCAAGACGCATAGGAAGGCTCAATAAGCCTCCGTATAGAGTGACGTACGCTGAAAATCATACACTCACGGCCAAAACAGCTGACGGCCATTTGATAACTCAATTCAATAATGGTGGGCGGTGGATAATATTTTTCATATCAATCCCATGAAATTGCGATTGGCAAAACGATGGCTTAAGTAATGAGCATTTTTTTTTTTTACAAAATTACATGTCTAACGGTCGTTTATAGCTAGCTGTAGTGGCCGGCTTTTTTTGCTAGGCTGACTGAATATCACTATATTATTAAGTTTGAGCAACGCACACGCTAGCTTAACATCGAACCAAAATATACGCAGATGAGCATCACAGAACAAGCCTAAGTGTTCTGTCTAGACACTAGACAATTTTGACTGCGGAAAAAGCAAGCCAAATTTAATCTCTACAGATGGCCACCTGATTTTAGACGTGGTTTTCCATGAGCTGTAGCTGTTAGTAATGTAAAAAATTCAAGCAATAGTGCTTTCAAAAACAACATTCTCCTGCTGGAGCTGTTGTCCCAATAGTGCAGATTTGAGTGGGATGAAACAGTAAACTTCGAAGAGTGTCTACCAAAGTAGTACATTATTCAGTAAGCCATCAAGCCTTCTTCGCTGGCCTAACATCAGCCTTAGCCTTCGGCTGACTCCAACCTGCGTTATGCACTTTGATAAATGCAGGCAGCGATTCTACTAAGTGACGAATCATGAGACCTTCGCTGGTTAAACAGCATTTCGACGTCGAAGAAACGAATTCTTCGTTTTTCCTGATTTCATCGAAGTCTATTTCGTTTACAGTCCACGTGAAGGACAGGCCCTAGCCTGTAAGACCCTAAGATAACCGAATTCAACTACCCACTTACCCAGCTGAGGTTTCGATCAATCGACATCTCCTGCTACCTCATAGAAATTTCCGTGATCGCTTTCCAAAGGTTGGGCCCTGTTAGCCCATTAAGTGTTCACCAAGTCTTAGTGTACCTCAGACCGTGCTACAAGATCCGTAAATTCTAACATCAGGTCCTATCAATAAGATCGAGCAAAACGTACCTCTGTTGGGCATAAGCTAAGCAGCCAGTACACATAAGGGTACACAACTTCCAGCAACATGAACAGCTGTTAAATAAACGGCTCTTGAAAGCGACAAGATGTAACGATTTACGTTTTATTTAGAAATTAGATCTATTCTTTTTCTGCATGATTTTGTCGTAGTTTTTCCTTTTTTTCATGATCTGATAGCTAACTTGTCATTTCTGTTTGATCTTTCTGTTCATAGATGCTAAGGACCCATAGCTACTTTCCCCTCGCTTGCTCATAGAGTTTTGTCTCCTATAGCACGCCTTTTTCCCCATGCATCTCTATGATGATATGCCGTTTTTATTCTCGTCATTGCGATTTTTCAGCACATCGCCTTCCTCGACGCCAGCGGAGTTTCACAGGCAGACAAAAGATACTGAAATTTGAGTTCTGCTGTAAATCCCAGATTTTGTTACTGCTGGCAGATAATGTTTTGTCTATCTCATTCGGGCGGTGGGCATAACAAGGCCAATCCGTCGATCTACCGCGCAGCGCATATTCAGTCTAGTTCTGTTTCATCGCTTCGATGAGTTCAGGACGAAGGTGGATCCTTTGTTGTTTCTTTCACCCTACAACGCTTTCCGATGTCACCATACCACTGTGTTCTTCTGATATCGTCGCCGGGTCTTCTGATCCTGCTACAATCAGGATTGAAATAGGAAAGCGCTGCATCGGTATTTATGGAGCCTTGTAACGATTTCTGCTGAGCAACTTCTTGCCTGCTTTTTTCTAAATCAACGATATCATGAATGTTAAACGTAGAGAACGACAGTAGTTCTGCTAGCCTACAATAAACAGTTAGGCTTGTCAGCCCCCCCAGTACCTTTGCTTTTCGGATAGGAAGCACCGCCAAGTAAGTAGTGACCTAGATTAAGGAGAGTAAACGAATCTGAGGCCGACCAGGAAACAAAAAAAAAGCTTGATCGATAAAGGCGATTTGAGAAAGTAACGCACAGATCAACGGAGGAAAGTCGTCTTCTTGAATAGGTATTATTCCCAATGAAATATCGCTCAAGAAGCAAAACCATCTGTGGTAAAATGGTACTCGAAAAACAGATGCGTTTGGTGGCCTATCAACGAACCCAACTCAATCGTGGATTTGACGAGATTTTCCAATGCAGGGACTTGATGAGATGACGATACGTTTCATGAGCTAGCGTAATTGCGTGCTACGACATCACCCTAAAAAGCGAGGCTGATCAAAAAAGTGATTTCGACAAAAGGTACTATTCAACCCATTAGATCGCATCCTTTCGTGAGACTTGAGTGTATTTAATAGATCGATTATAGCATACAAAACATTGAAAACAGAACACGCACGCCACGAGCAGATACGAAACGGCCCGGGTTACGAAAAACGCACAGATGGTGCCCTTCACAAAGGTGGGTAGCAAATGCAATAAACAAGCGTATGCTGCTTTCGAACTTGCCTAAAATAGTCCATATTTATGGCTCCGAAATTTCGGTGCTTACCGTGAAATAATATTTATAACACTTTATCTAAAATGATTTACAAGATGTCATTATCAATGTATATTGCAATTATGTCGACAAGTTCTTGTAGTATAGCTTGACGATCCTCTTTTGTTACTGTATCAGGTGCTCGCAACCTTTTATCCAGTGCTACCTAGTTGTAGTATGCGAATTATATTAATTGAAGCAAGAGCGACTATTAGGCCTTGGAAATTTCTCTATGTTGCTAAGGAAAGCCATAACCCACATTGGCGCATAAGATAGGTCGCTATTGCAATTGAACTTTGAGACGACGCCTAATTAGGATCCACTGCCAGTGTTGGACGTTATGTTAGGTTAGATGGCGCCGGGCCTTCCTTCTATACCAGGCAAAACAAGCGGTCAAGCAAACCAGCTAAGGCTGCCACTTCTAATGCTCGTTTTAACTGAATTTTTAAATTCTCGCGGCATCCTTCGATTAGAAATTTTCTTATGCTTGAGTAAGGCTTGTCCGACCTAACGAGGGCCAGCTTTCACGACCTTTCGAGCCATCATTTCATTAAGAGCAGTTCTCTTTTTAAGCATATAGCAAGCGGTGGTCGCGACCGTAGTTAACTTAGCATATTATGGCACTAGACACACCCAAGTCAGTGGAAGGAAGACTAACTGTCTCTTGAGAGATTGCCCCATGATTGTCCAATTCTCTTTTGTAACTCTCGTTTGAAATTTGTCAGTAGGACACAGTACTAAACGGAAAATAAAGACACTCGGAGGAGTAAACATATCGCCATATAAGTCCAAACAGCAGACGTAGCTTGGCCGTGCACGAAGCAACACATGCAAAGCTGTATACAGGAACAGGTAGGGAAATTCTCTATATATATATATATATATATATATATGCTCTGGCTCAAGGCCCGTAAAATGTAATTCTGTTGGGCTTGTAGAGAAAGAATCGAGTTGCTCTCATCGTACTGCTTCACCGGACGCCCTTTAATTTGTAGATTTGTATTACTAATAGAAGAACTACCAAGTAATTATTTTTAATGGTTATGTCCTATACGGTCTACAATAATATCATCGACAAGACATTAGTTAGTGAACAATTAGAAATTAAGAAAGCAACCACCTTTTACCTGTTCGGTCCTATGAGTACGACAGTAGGAAGGCCATTATTGTCGAAGCATAATATATATTGAGCAATCTGGCCTAGTTATGGATGTCACGTCGACGATGATAATTAATTCTACCAGGTCCGAAAAAATAACATGCGGTCCTTCAGTGTAATGTAGCTTATGCCTTAGGTGTTTGTGTTATGTCACGGAATGTTTAGGTATCGGCTGGTTTTTTCAAAATCATATCGTCTTGGGGTATTAGTTGATGACACAAAAATAAGCGGGCTGTTCAACGCTTTGAAAAACACTTCAATAAACTGTCATTTTAGCGCTGATTTATGTATCTCGTCAACATTGTAAGAGGCAGAGTCTCCTTTAGATAATTATCTATTGACACTCGTCTCGAACAGCGTGACGAGACATCGCCCTGACCAATTCTCCTATCTATGCGTGGTATAGGCCGCAAGTTTGCCTATGTGTGTGATTGTGAATTTAGTGCGTTTTATATGATACAGAAATCAAAGCAAACATTTAACGTCGGAGATGCACTGGGGAAATCATCGTTTAAATATGAGCCCCTCATCACGTTCATTAGATGAACCTAGCTTACTATTATGGTGTACGACTTCTATCAAGCTTTTACGTAGAAATATATCATCTACATTTCTGATAGCCGAGAAGGCCACTTCTGTTTCACTAATGAGAAGTAGCGTGTACAAAGAGCGGAAAATTTCCTTCTGAGTAGTATAATTTTTTTAACTGAAATTCTCCCTTGGCGTATCGATGGACTTCTTTTAAAACGTATTTTATTAATTCACTAGATCCTCCTCGGCATCAGCTTAGTGGCATTAAGTACGTGATGAGTATGCCCTGTCAAAATAGTTACACCCATTTCCCTAGCAATAACAACAATAACTATAGTTAGTTTTCAATGTTTAGAACCAAATTTGCCAATTGTAGAGCTTACCTACTTCGATGCCAATACTCACATTTGGATGGTCCTTGACGGGTACGACTACCCGTACTTGTAATCGAATTGGTCGACCTTTATGGATGTCTACGAAGGAGACTTTGCTACTTCCGCTCTGCAAACGACCAATTTCTATTGCAGAATTGCAGCAGAAATTGGCCGTCGAAGTAGGTGTATTCGTTGACCGCAAAAAAGTTCGACGAAAAGTCGAAACATCGGTGATACGCAGCGACCGAAGACGGCGTGATTCGGTTCAACATGAAAGAACAACGATGTAATCAAGACAAAATACAACAGCTCTAATAAGAATCACATGAAATAGACCAAATAAGTACTATATAAAAAAAAAAAAAAAAAAAAAAAACTACAACCCATTTGATACTCGACAAGTGTTTTCTGTTACCCAGGAAAAAGAGACATTTGTTTCCATATATTCCACTGCTGACCTGTTCGATGGTCATTGTTTGATGATACTCTGGCGATTAGTAATTTTTTCGTCATTTGCTTTGCAAAAACATACAGGTTTTTGTGTGCCTATTAACGAATACAAACCGGCGAACCTCTGCATCTGGTATCCAGGTGCAGCTAACAACTATTTTTTTCCTTTTTTTTTTTTTATTATACATTGAAATTTCGGGAACTTAACCTACAAAAGAGAAAAATACTGTCCGAACTTATAATGTGTCTTACAATTCCTCTACGGCTACGAATCGATTCGTCACCAGTTCTATCAACCAACCAGGTAACATCTATAGAAAATAAACATGTCCGTAGTACCATTCACAACGTACTTTTTACACTCGACCCAACTCCCGAATAAACCCGTATGTGCTAGACATCCCAAGGTGATAACTATATGATTGCTTGGCCATTCAATGCGCTACGGCCACCATGCTAAAATTAATGCAACCATACGATTGTGTCAAACGCAGTAGAAATTACGTACGTCCTACTTTCCACTGCTTTCGACTGCTGCCTCAGATGGAAACGTCTCAGGAATCTGTTGCGTTCGTTCAGCTTTGATCGCGTTCTCTTCCCTTTTTTTGAGTTTCTTCTGTCGTTTGCTCTCGCTAAATTCAGCTGTGCTGCTCGTTGTCGTACTTTCGTTCGAAGGCTATATAATTATTGTCATTAATTATCGGCACTCGAAGTCGCGGTTGAAGGCGTTGCTAAATAACAACTTTTGCGTTATAGCTGAGGGTGACATCAGTGGGAATGATTTCGAACGAGTCGTTTTTACAGTCCTTTACAGAGACGTTTAGGTGAGACGCAGAAGGGGGCCATCCACATTATGCATGACAAACTTTTCCTAAGGTGGAAAACTGTGTTGTACCATTCGATGCTGGGGGTATAGTCAACCAACGCGATGACCAAAGATTGTTCGCTTGTTGCTGCCCACTAAAAATAGATGGGTATAATAGCGCCTTTTAATTTCGGTGGTCTGAAATTTGCGATAGCTACAAATCGCAAAATCACAGTGACATACAAAGTAACTGCATCAATCCCCAGACCACCCAATGAAATCATTCTTGGGGAGGCAATGCTTAAGAATCGATGGGGAACTTTATCGCAAGTGCAGCTATACTACTGCATGCATTACTTTCCCCTTTTTAAGTTAACTAAGCTTTGAAATGAATAGACAAAACGAGGTTACAATCTGTCGCATTTTGCCAGCAATAGACACGAATACGACCTCTCCGAGTGCTATTGTTCCATATAGAAAAGGCGAACTAGGCGACAAATTTTCCTGTGTTTTTTGTCACTATAGTTGTTTAAGGTTCATACATTTGACGTGCCAGTATGAACCAGTCGGCGAAATTGATTTACTAGCAGATTGCCTGAAATATGGAAAAATAAAAAGCGCAAAAGCCTAAGAAACAAATAACATAGAGATCGCTTCTGTTTAGATATAGGGACATTTTCGTCAAACCGCTTTGCAGCATGATGAATTCAAGTGACCGATATCGACCAGTTTGACCTACGCGAGGTCAGCCGTGGTCGCTGCAAATATTCATTACCACTGGAGCTTGCGAGAGCTTAAACGGAAGCAAGAAAAAACGAACTAGGAAAAAGAGGTTTGTATTGCATCATAAAGCTGCCGGCTTCTTAGCACTATATGCGACAAGGTTTGTCAAATTAGAGCACTCGGCGGAGAAATCTTCGGCAAAAATTTTACGCTAAACGAATTAATTTCAGCCATCTCCTCACATATATCACATTTGGCAAAGACTTCTGACTCGACGAGCGAGTAATATATCATGTTTTGTAAACTAACTGGTGTAAAACATTTTCTATTTTCGAATATTAATCGAAATCACTAGATATCTGTAAAGCAGTATCAAGCGCACAGTTCTATCAAATTCCGTGCCTCGGGTAAGCATTTAAAGTAGTATTGCAATTTTTATGATGAAACCCGTCCATATCAAGGAGTTGTTATCTTTAATTTAAAGCTTACAACTGTGCTTGACACAAGTTATCAGTCCAATAAAGTTGTTCGACCCAGCTCTACTATAGCCTACCACTGTTCTATTTCCTATACGTGCTCCGGCAGTACAACTGGCATCAGATAACTTGACTACCCCATAACATCATAACGTGCTCCTCGTCACCAGTTTGCGCAATCACATCCATATAAAAATATGTTAGGTAAAGTCAGATAGGTATTCGCCTCCTTGCCGGCTTACGCTAGAAGGCTCCGTCAGCTCGTAACTCCACTATAAGGTAACAGCTATCCGTCCTTTTTCCATTTTTCCCTATCTCGATTCTAGACAAAATGCGACAAGCATTTTGTCTAGAATCGAAATCCCACCGACTGCGCGATAAATAATCCTAGGTTGACCCGAACAAGCACTCGTGTTTGGTACTGCTGCTACCTTTCAACTGAAGTGTTGCCTGCTTGATCCCCCTGACCAACGCAGACCGGCAATAATCGATGTTCCTAAGAACGCGATGGCGTTTGCCCCAGTTCCGTCCGATGAGGCCCGAGCCTAAGAAGACGGCAGCGGAAGGAATGTTGTTGTCGTCAGCAGCAGCGTAAGGCCACCTCCCCCTCTTTGTTACTCATTCCTTCATTTCCCCGAGCCTTGCCTACGCGTCCTCCACAAAACAAAGGAGAAAAGCGCCTCATAGACGAGGCATTATCACGCGCTGCTTCTCCTATCTTGATCTAACAATCGTAGCACACGTTCGCCGAGTAACTTAGCTGCGACAGTAGGGGGTTCTGGAGGGCATGGTAAACGAGGAAAAGCCTCTTCTGCTGCTACAGGAAAGATGGAAATACCATTCGTACAGGTAGTTTGGCCAATTCTTTTTTCCTTCCGTAGACACGAGGCATTTATGGAGCTAGCTGCTCAAAAGCACTGCTTTGATTCATAGAATATAACGCTTGTACCCTTCATTTCATGTATTGCCCTGCTCTGGCCTTTCGAAGAGCTACTGGCACAGTGTCCTTGCCCTTTTCTTTTTTTGTTCGTTTTCTACATAGAACTTCACCTCTGCACGCAACAAAATCGCATGGCACCCATTGCCGAGCTGATACCGATCTGATGTGAGTTGTCGGCTTCGATTCAAGGTATCGCTATTCGTTTCCTCTTAGCTGTGAGCGCGAAGCAGGAAGGCTGGCCAGCCTTTTTTTTCGTCTAAGTTATGCCAAGGCAGTGATGCCAACGGTAGCGCCAAACCTATCATGTTAGGCCAAGCCGACCCATACGAAAACCTCTCGTCCAGGTCCCAGAAAAAAATCTGTCAAACAACATACACAGATAGAAAGGCGCAACTACCGAGAAACCATCGTCTGCGGGCATCTCCACAATAAACATCACAACCGCCACTATCATCACTGCCGTTGCCATCATTGTAACTATCACAGGAAAGCAAAACGCTGTCAAAAGGAAGAGTAGTTCATTTTTTTTTTCGACGTTTACAGAAAAGACGTTTCCCTGCCATTGCTACTAGCATTGCATGCCGCTTTGACGCCTGAATGAATAGGCTAAAAATGATGATCGCTTCGATGCGAACGGGAAGGAGTCACGAGATGACACAACGCGCTAACGGAGCTCCTTCTCGGCGGCAGCGCCCGGGCCGCTGACGAGCCCCAGTTTGCTTTTGACGGACCACTTCACCCACGCTGCCCTCCCAGTAGCTTTGAACAGAAGAGCCGGTACTGGTGGGAGCTGAGGACAACCAATCGAGCTTGAAGGAAAACTACTGCCCTTACTAGTCAAAGCACCGTGGCGTCATAGATGTCAGACGGCAAGAGTCAGGCACGCTTTGTGCACGTGAAATGACTGGGCTTCTTCTGTCCGCTTTTTTATGTCGCTTTTTCAGTTCTTCACTCTCTATACAACGTTGTTTTTTAGAAAAAGTCCACAACCTACAGAGTGTAACGCTGTTGTTGTTCCTAACTGAAGGCCTTCTTTGGGCCATCGACCTGACGCAATTTATCATAATGTCAGACTGTCACAGGCTACTCAGCTATTTTCTCCTTGTCTGTTGTGCTTCGAAAAACCAAATCACACACGAGCCATTTTACACTTCGATCCAGCCAAAAGTACGAGTCGTTTCTTACTTTCACTTTCATTCAATTCGCCTTTACTACTGGCCGTAATCGTTCTATTGACGATTGCAAAGGGCAAACACGCCAAAGCACACCGTATCTCACTGGTCAGACTGGCCGACAGTGGCACTGAGAGGTGAAGATGCAGAACTTGGCTTTCCCGATCCTTACCCATGCAACATTCCCAACCGGGCCTTTAAACACAGCAAGCTATATCATAACATCCTATCTCACCTAAGTGACTCAACTTCGGAACAAGGCTATCACATTTTAATAATGATTTGATAAAACAAACTGGGGAAAAGCTAAAGAAGCGACATCGCCGAAGAAATAGCGATAGTCAAGGTGGCCAGAAACAGGACGCGGCAACGCAGATGAAACAAAAGCAAGGTTTTCCTCTTAGCCAGTGGACGAGAGAGCAGCATATGCACGTTGTGTGCAGGATAATAACCGTCACATAGCCAAGAATACGGGGAACCGACAATGTCGAGAAAGACAAAGCAATCTATGGCGATCGCGATCACTGTAAAAATCCAGAAAAAGAGAACATTGACTAGAATCGCGGTGTACTCGAACA